CTGATGACGAAGGCTGAGAAATTTAACCTCCCGCTTTGGAAAAACTAATCCCTGTACGATTCGTTCACTCATTTCGATGATAAGTTGGCAAACTGGTACATGGCAGTTAATTCAGTTTTGTCATGCGAAGCAACATCTCTTTAATGGTGTTTATACGTGTAATATACATACATACATACATACATACACACATACATACATACATACATGCGCATATACATACATACACACATACATATATGTATATATACACATATATGTATATATATAATACATTTGTACACATACATCTGTGTCGGGTAGTATATGTGCATATGTTGAGCATCATCTCTTCATTGCGAACTCTCTGATTTTTATGCGTCTTTTGTTGTACAAAAGCTGCGCAAAACTCATATTGTCATGAAGTTGTCTGTGTATGTATTTGTATGTATGTGTGCCCGATGCATTTTGTCCGCAACTTTCAATTCGGGAACCACAAAAGCCAGGGAGCCGAATATTTAAGGGAATGTCCTCCGCCCTCGTGTGACTTCGCAAATTCAATTTCAGCCTTTCCTTTTCCTTAAGTACCCTGGTACGACGCGGTGAGAGTTTTAGCAAAGAAAATTATTATCTCGGGAACCATAAAAGCTGGAAACTGAAATTTTACGGTTTTGTGTGCTACCCAAATATAAACCCACATATTCAAATTCAGCTTTCACGTACGCCTAGGACTGGAGCGTCCTTGCAAAAGTTTTGCCAAAAAAAATTATTTCAGGAGCCAGAAGGGCTAGGGGGCTAAAAATTTCAGGACGATGTTTTTTACCTCTGCATAGGACTCACAAACTCAAATTCAGTTACCAAATATGCCGAGACCACGTGAGTTATACGGCCACATGAGTTTTGGCGCGAAAATCACTCGAAAGCCAGAAAATTAGGAGGTTGAAATTTTTGAAGAATATTCTCTGTTCTGAGTTTCAAATTGAGCTTTCATCCTCCAGTACGTGAACTTTTTAGTTGGATATTTCGCAGCTTAGGAAGCAGACAACATTTCTCCTATTTCTGCATCAAAGTGAAACGGCAGACCAAAGTCAAAGCAGTGAAAATCCTTAGTAGGCAAACTTTTGCTGGACGAAATTGCGCAAAACGCAAGATCACAACGACTACCCTGGTGCGCGCCGCTATTTATTAGATCGTAAGTTGCTGTATCGTCTGAAAAAAAAAAAAAAAACTTCACATAAAAATAATCAAAATAAAAGCCCACATAAAAATAATCACTTTCAGAATAATTCTCATTTTTTTGCAGTATCCATTCGAACTGGACCCATTTCAACAGCAGGCAGTAGTTTGCCTGGACCGTGGTGATTCGGTATTTGTTGCAGCACATACATCAGCTGGTAAAACAGTTGTAGCTGAGTATGCTGTTGCTCTTTGCAGCTTACATAAAACGAGGTAATTTTGTCTTCATTTTTTTTTTTCAGAATTTCCGCTTGTTTTTGTTACTTTAAACGTTTTTTTTTTCAGAATTTCGTATTGCTTTGCGCTGATTTCAGTGTAGAATTGATCGGTTTTGTTTGCAAAAATGACATTAGCGGTGGCAAAGCAGCATTTTTTTTGGACAAATAATTTTTTGAAAAAGTTCTTCGGATTGTTTGTTTGGTGCAAGCTAAAATTTTTGCAGATCCGAACTAATTATACTTTAAATTAGGGGAGAGAATGCTAGAAGGCCTGTTCAGGTATCGGGTGGCACGCGAAGTAGTAGTACATTTGAGGATAAAAATTTCGGAAAAGCCAGTCCAACGTACGATACATTTATTCATCAAACAGAACATATGCATATATCATGGACAGTTAAAAAAAACAGCATTCGAGTGCTAATACACTACTTTACATTGTTTCGGAAAGAAGGGCCACACAGCATGCTAAGTAGTTATTAATAAGTTCAAACTCAGTCCCCGTGTATGCGTAGTTCCTACGTACGGGCCCGTAAAAGTTTTCTTTAGAGTAAGTTGCTAATTCAGAAATCTGAAAAGCTAGAAGATTGAAATTTTAAGGGGACGTTCCCCGTTCACGCAGGTGTCAGTGAGCTCAAACCCAGACAACGGGTATACGTGGTAGCCACGTACTGATCCGTGAAAATTTTTTGCGGATAAGTCACCAACTCGGGAACCTGAAAAGCTAGAAGACTGGAATTTTAAGAGGATGTTCCCCGTCTGCGTAGGTATTAATGAGTTCAAACCCAGCTCCGGACTGTGCATGGTTCCTATGTACGGGCCCGTGAATTTTTTTGCGGGTAAGTTGCTAACTCGAGAACCAGGAAAGCTAGAAGCTGGAATTTTAAAGGGGTATTTCCTGGCAGTCCTGGCGGCCAGTTTTAATTCGTTTAACTTGACCAGTGCCGTTAGCGACAAAAGCCTTCGGGAAACTATTCAAAAAGCGCATCTTCGCGGCGGCAGTCGGTGTGCTGGCCATTTATTTATTTTTTTAACGATTGCAGAGTAAGGTGAGAAGAGCAGTCACAGCGTCTTCCAGCTATACCAACGCAAACTCGAAAGAGTTTGGAGTTTCTAGAGTTCTGTGCGATAGCTACCTTTAAAATTTATTCTTTTTTTCAGAAAAAACAGCATAATTTATGCGTTTTGCAGGGCTGTCTATACATCGCCAATAAAAGCACTTTCGAATCAGAAGTTTCGCGAATTCAAGCTGATTTTTGAAGACGTCGGTTTAATAACTGGTGATATACAGTTACATCCGGAAGCATTTTGCCTAATTATGACAACTGAAGTTTTGAGGTTTGATTTTTGTTAATGGACTCGGATTTTCAATATTTTTTTCCTTTCCTTAGGTTTTTTCAGCATCCCTTTCTACATTACACGTACATGATCTGAGTCCCCATCTGCGCTGCTGGCATTTTTTTTATCAGCTAAGTTCTTATACCCCCCTCATCGACAATATTCCGAATGCTGGAGTAAGGAGATTGGGTCAACTTATCGGAGGTAATATTGCCTTTCTTTTAATAGAAATTTATAACAAGAAGGAATGAAATAAAGAGAAAAAAGAAAAAAAAGAGAAAAAGAAACATCGTAGGTGCCATTCACCTATTCGTCTCGTCCATTTCTTATCTGTTATCCTGGCTTCATTACCAGGCACTTAAAATTTTTTTTTTTTTTTTTTTTT